GAATGTTCTTTTTGTCGCACTGATAGAATTTGTAAAATGTGGAGTTGACGTTTATCTAATCGTTATCTTAGATGAGGTATTTTTATAGAATTATGAGAAGAAGTTAACTTTGTGTAACTTAAAGTAAAACACATCACATTTTATTATGTTAATATTTGGAAAATTACTTCTCTTTTCAAATTTCAACAACCAATACCTGTACCCTGAACAATATTTCTCAATGTAGCACTAATTGCTACACCTAACTTGTTACACCTCATCAAAGTATGGGTTTGTGTAGTACAAAGTACCCTTCACGTTATCTTTAGTATTTAACTAATTAATAAAATGTAAGTTTGTGTAGTTCAAAGTACCCTTCACCTTATCTTTAGTATTAAACTAATTAACTAATTAGTATTTAACTAATTACATAAATGTAAGTTTGTGGATCTGTTAAAAAGGTCTTGTCAGAGGGTGATGAGAGAATTTATTGAATATTTGGGAACAGTAACATATTTCCAATTTCCCGAGAGACAGCCAGACGATACAAATTCTGGTAAAATTGATGAAGTTATCAGATAATTAATAACAAATGAGGTTCATAGCATTTTTTAAATGTACCCTAAACGAACCTCAAATTATTTGTTATAATGTCGTGTTGAAAGTGCTGGTATCTAACGACAGATCCGTAACCCACACCTGTATTACGTCACGTGACGTCACCATACCTGTATTACGTCACGTGACGTCACCACACCTGCATTACGTCACGTGACGTCACCACTCTCTACTGTACTCTAAAGTAGACACCTTGCAATTATTATTATTAGTAATAAACTTACAAAGACACCCCTGGATTACATATTGGTTACATGATTTATCATTGATGTTATACACAAAACACACTCTGTGTATTGTAAACAATCGTCACGCCATGACGTCATCACGCTATGACGTCATCACACCATGGCGTCACACTAGGCTCGCTCTCTGATAACACAGTTACAAATCAACATTACTACGTTTTCAAGTCCTCCCTTTAAGCATTACCGGGTTTTTTGTAACACTGTGATATTCCGTGTCTACTGTCGGTAGTAAGGTGTGTGACAAGTAGGGAGGTGACTGTTACACATGATCAGTGATTACTGGTATTAGCAGTTAGATATGATCAGTGATTACTGGTATTAGCAGTTAGATATGATCAGTGATTACTGGTATTAGCAGTAAGATATGATCAGTGATTACTGGTATTAGCAGTTAGATATGATCAGTGATTACTGGTATTAGCAGTTACACATGATCAGTGATTACTGGTATTAGCAGTTAGATATGATCAGTGATTACTGGTATTAGCAGTAAGATATGATCAGTGATTACTGGTATTAGCAGTTAGATATGATCAGTGGTTGGAACTAGATAAGATCTGCCTCTAGTTTCGTTACTCACGAGGCGGTACCAGTTCACTTACAGACTGTAAAGTAGTACCGGTAAAGTAGTACCGTCACACATCTGACGTGTTTCACATCTAGTTTCACGAGATAACCTGGTACGAGAATCAAATGTAACCCAACTTTATATTAATGGGATATGATTGCCATCAGTTTTAACTCCCAACCTGTCTTTGAGTCCTTTTGTAGGAAATGTGGGGTTTTATCTGATATATAAGTGTATACTGATATATATCACATTGTTCATTGTTCATCTTTAGAGACTAGAGAGGCATCTGATCCCTGTCACAGCGCCCGACCTTGGTCAGTTAATATAAGGGTGGCTGATTCCAGTTCAGTTCAGATATGTTGTGGGGTAACAAAAACTCGCCAGCCTCATTTCCCATGTTATTATTATTATGGTTAAATGTCTGCTAACAATGCGGTCAAGCCGCCTCATAAACCGCAGTTCACACAAAATATCTTATCGTAACGAGATAAGGTCATCATATTATGTGGTTCCACAACTAATTTATGTAATAGATTTCTATTTATATAATGTACACGCAATAGTTTGAGTCAGGTACAAATGGAGATGGTATACTCTTTTCACCCTAGAAGCCAAGCCTAGTTAAATACAGTGCTAGTTAATTAGTTAATTACGGCAGGTACTCGTTTATTGTAGTTTAGAAAATGTGGCTAACGACATGATAAATAATCATAAGCGTTTACTAGAAATTATTATTTAGCTCGCTTTGGTGGATTTAAGCAGGAATATCCGTAAGATATGGTCTACTGATGTATGTAAGGATCTTTATCTTAAAACTTTAAAAGAAATGCTTGACGGTTTAAGTAGTGCTTATATTTTATAAATAATACTGTATTTTAAGCTTATATTATATGAGTTCTATTTAACAAGTAAGTCTATCATAAGAGTAAGTATAAGTAAAATATGATTAAAATATAAGTAAAATGTAAATAAAATATAAGTAAAATATAAGTAACATATAAATAAAAAGTAAGTAAAATGTAAGTTCTATTTAAATGTAATGATGAGGACAATTTTATTGCCTCAAGGAAATACACCGTAATTCATAAATAGATGTGTTATTGTATTGCTGAATGAAGCAATCGCTGTGCAGTATTTATATTCAGCAGATTGTTATAGAATAACGCATATATATTATGTAATGTAAAGAGAAGTAACGTAGACTTGATAAAATGTAAAACTGCTACACTTTTGTGTTTTCAAGTGGTGAAAATTTGACAGGCAGATAAATATCTGAATCCATATTAAAATGCTTGATAATATATTTGGGGATGTTATTCAAATTATGCACAATCTATTGTTTGTTAATGAGATTGGTATTTCAGTAGGATGTGTAAGCTTTTTGGTAGGTCTCCTTTATTTAAAAATCGATTAAAAATTAAATGATTGTCTGTTCTGAAAACTAAAGCATTTGATCATTTTTGCACACTTTTTATCCGTTATTATACAATATACATCATTGTGGTTATTACACACGTTTCTACACGAAGAGAGATGTCCATCCGTGTAATAACAAATAACGTTTAAACGGCTTTCGTATGTTTAAGGAATGCCAAGTATTGGCTCGTGTATAAATGTATAGTATTCAAATATGCTGTAATTTACGTGTCTAATACTCCTTGCTAGATGTAAAGTACAATATCTACTAATATTTATAAGATATTCACACATGTTGTACTTCGGAAAGCTCCTAACTGCGTAAAGTACATGATGTCTAATACGAATATTCTATCTTTGTATTTAACTCGTAGTTCGTGTTGTGAAGATCTCTAACTGGTGTATTGAGTAGTTCACAATGGTATTAAAATTAGCATATTCACATATCATTAACATATTCATACTTTTAACACACGACACCTTTACATTATTAACATATTCATACTACACACACAGTGTTGAAGAGGTAGTGAGTTGCCGAGATTTCTGAAAGTTTGAAACTGGTCACATTGTCAGAAAAGCGAAGAAACAGCTGGGATTTTGTAAACAGTACAGATTACACATGCACATTACCGGTTACAGATTACCAGTTACACGTTACACATCATTATTTAGCCTCACTTTGATCAGCTCACTCAGATATAATCATGTCTCTTTAGACTTTACTGAGACTAAGTTACACGTTACACATCATTATTTAGCCTCACTTTTATCAGCTCAGTCAGATATAATCATGTCTCTTTAGACTTTACTGAGACTAAGTTACACGTTACACATCATTATTTAGCCTCACTTTTATCAGCTCAGTCAGATATAATCATGTCTCTTTACTGAGACTAAGTTACACGTTACACATCATTATTTAGCCTCACTTTGATCAGTTCAGTCAGATATAATCATGTCTCTTTACTGAGACTAAGTTTACAGATGATGAATTTAATGTTACGGAAAGCTAAAAAACTGGATATGTGCCATGATAGTTTCTCAGACTTGAGGTTAGAGAGTTAATGAGAACTAGATACCAAGATCAATTTGAGGTTTAAGTTTTAATGAAAACTGGATACCATGATAAATCTGAGATTTCAATATTAATGTCCGACTGTGCGAACAATTTCTTTTTGTGGGTTTTCCGTTTGTTATAAATTAGCACATCTAGTTGGTGCCATGTGGTTAGATTATTCTAGATTTTCACTGTACCAGACCACTCAAGCTGTAAACGCTTGGATTCGTTAATGAAAGACTAATAATTGTGTCGCCCACCGCTGACCAATACAGAAAATACAAAGAAACTTACTGATCCTTGTAAAAAGCGAGGAATTACCTCAGATAATGTTAAAATAGTGCTCAGCAGATTTCTTCTCCATTACAATTTTCATTCTGCTGTTCTATTGACTATTTCCTGCGCACAACATACAAGCCGTGCATTTAACACGTGGTAGCAACAAAGAAATTCCTAACATATTTATGCCCACGTGTTCCTACAATCCAGCACGTGTTCCTGCAATTCCGCACGTGTTTCCAAATTTACCCTATTAATTGGAGAATGGTGCTCACTGCTTCTCGCTGCTTCTCACTGGAGCTGCATTCCAGACAGACACAAGAGATTAGTGGAAATATTGCAGACATGCTGTCTGCATTTCACCACGGTTCAACTGTTCAGCAAATAAATTGATTGCATAATAATGTCTGCACTCTGCAGGGTGTATGCAGTATGCTAGCTAATGTATGGAATTGTTCAGATAAAATCACAGAGAAATTGTGTTGAATGTCACATTATAATATTACGTTTATAATCGTTAAAAAATCGATTATAAACGGGTTTTTTTTTAAAGCGCCCAATAAGCGATTATCAGCGCCGATAATAAAATTTCGTTTATGGAAACTTGCCAGTTATTGCAATATAATTTTTACTGACTGTGTGTTTTTTCTTCAACATTATAGTGCTCTATTAAATTAACTTATGAGTAAATACAAATCGTTACAAATACAACGTGTCTAGCCTACTGTAAGTTCAATCTCAGATAACTATCAGCAGGGACGTACCATATAATTTTTAGACATAATACTTGATGCAGATTAATTGATTAATTACATGCTAATTATTTCAGATCAGAGTGAGACAGGTGCCTCTCCCACTCCCAATCAAGAAGGTTAGTATTTTACTAAATACTAATTCACTAATTTTATCTTAAGGATTTTACACTTGGTGGCTATGGGTAGTAATTACTGTTTTGTATCCTTTTTGAAACTTGAAACTGTGCGTTGTCCTATACACTAGTACATTGGCACGAAATACCAGACAAAATACCAAACCAAATTAACCACTGTCCACAAAATACCACATGCCATGTACTGATGTACTCGTTTTGTTGTCATCATATAATTTCTTATAATGGTTGTGTAGATAATGATGAAGTGGGTGCAGTAGTAATGTACATTTCTCTCAATTAACCGAATTAAATGTGTTTTGTAGATTACAGTGGATTCACTCCCTGTGTTTGCACAATTTTACACAATTCTCTCTCATATTGTATCAGGCTAATTAGGGTAATTACATGTGACTGGAGTGTTGTTTCCCATCAATTATTACCTAATTAAAACAGACAAAGAATACTCCACAATTCTTTGTTCACGTTCCTTTGAATGATCATTGTGTTTGTGGATGTCATGAAACTGTTATAATCACACAGAAAGGTGACTACAATCAATTTATGAATATAATCTGTTCTTGCAAATCGGTACGAAATCATAAGTATTCATTGAATATTTCTCGTCGTTTATAATTTGATGATTTGATCACAATACGGGGGCTGACCAACAAATCTTCTGAAGAATAAACCAGAATACACATTCCATAAAATATACAATTTACAACTTATTCCAGTATAACAGTTCGCTATTCTCTCAAATCTGAGAGTTCAGTTGAAACAATTTGCTGGTAATATAACATGCTGGCATTATAATGGCAGTTGTGGTGGCAATACGAAACAATGGAGCTTATCAATTACTACCACTTCTTCTACTCATCGCATGCAGCTCTGCTTTTAATTCTACTGAATTCCCTCAAACACTTTCCCACGGTTTACCTGGACTGTATTTGTAATATTTGTGATGAATGTTTGGAATTTGTCCCCCTCCATATATAAACAATCCGTTTAATGGCTATTTTATGCGGAGTAATAAAATATCGACTGGTCCGTTTCACACCTGAGTGCGTTAGCGGGCTGGCTTCAAACAACTCTAGAAATGTTAGCCTGACATCACGGAATAGCAAATTAGTTCGCTAAGTCGATTTAGTCGGAATATTTCATGGGTCAGAAAAGTTCTGTATAATTGATTCTGTTAGTCACAAGGGTTTTGTGTAATTGAATGATATGTTAGCTGTCATTTCGTGATCCCCTTAAATATTTAGAATTTATTACCTAATGCTTAGGCTTTGGCTAATGTGTAGATTCTCAATTCTGAATAAACGGTTTCCAAGAATACCTGTGTGAAATTTGAATTATTCATAACCGAATGGGCCTCCATTATCTTCTGGTGAAAACCTGGTCCACGGCAGGAAAATTAGCGATACTCTGTCCTCCTCGAACATTTCTAAATTTAGAGAAACTGCACAGGAATATTTGGAGCGCGCGATGAAAATAAGATAGATCAATACGCGCCACTTTACGAAAAGTCACGTGTCACGTACGTTTATATCTGTCACACTTTGGAATTAAGTCAGAAACAAGGAACTTGTTGGATATCCTGGCCACCAAATTGTTGACACTTATACTTATTAGTACAATTTGAAGCTTGGTTATTTGTAACGTTATCAAATAAATGTTTACTTTCAGGCGGCAGAAGGAAGCCTAAACCTATCTGTGAGTTGTTTTATTCAGTTCAAATTAACATTACAGTATTAAATCATGAAATGATATACCTTACTCGGGAATATTATAACCGGGATAAAGTGGTGGGTTTTGGAAGATTCCGCCATATTTTTCCCGGTCAAAAATTTTACCAGTCATAAAAAAACCCGCCGACTCAGATTATGGGGTTCCAAGGGGGTGGTCATCATCATATTTTACCTGAAGTCTCATATGTGCTAGAGAAGACTTTTGAAGCAGTGGATGGAGGGCTGTAACTTTATTGGCGGTTGCTACCATAATTTCGGTATAAAAATCACAATTTGGTTATAGAAATTTGGTTATAGATTTGGTTATAGAAATCAGATTTCAGGCCAACTTGTGGCCACATCCCGCTAGAAGTGAGCAAACTGTGCCACTATTTCATGGTCCACGGTGGATTGATTACTGGAGCAGTTGAAGATGCAAAGCCAAGACGTTCCCCAATTTACCAAGCGGTGGGCAGGAAATTAAGCTCCGGCTGACCTTCAGAGCAGTAGCCCCATTAGCGGACAAAATGAAAGTCTTGTTAAGACAACAATACAACTTCGAATTTGACGGTCAGCAGCAGGGGGATATCAATAATGATAATGGATGGGACATTAGCGATAATGAGAATGAGAATACGCTTTAATGAAGATTTGACTTATTATTGCTTAGATTTATTTTCCTTTAAATAGACGTGTCTTTTTTTTCTATTTCTGAGTAATATCAATAACTGTTAATTGAAATAACTTCTTTAACAAGTAACAAAAACAGAAATTTCGGTTGAAAATTTGTTAACCTCTGAAAAAAAACTTGAAAGGTCGGCCACCGGTAAATACATGACCGGGATAATTTGGCGGGTTTTGGGAAAGTCCGCCATATTTTTCCTGGTCATTAATTTTCCCAATCATAAATTAACCCGCTATAATATTCCCGAGTAAGGTAAACAGAAAAATGTAGATTCTGAGCTATGACGTTCATTGTATTTTCGTAAATCTTAGTATGATCCTTCAACTAACCTTATCAAATTTCAGCACAATCTGAGTCAGGAGATTTTACTGGATCCTGTAAGTAAATTAAAATCCTTCCATGCCTAAACCATTAATGTTGATACGTTATGCCCGACTTAAATTTCAGCGGAAATATTAACGCTTCCTTGAAAACACCATATTTTAGAAACATACAAGCTAAATGTATATTTTTCAGCACGAGCTTCTCCTTCTGGCGAATACGGCAGTTCCTTCAATTCCGGTAAATACTGAATGTGTTTCGTTGTAGTAAAATTTAAAATAAATTGTGGCAGCTTCAAATGTCTGCCCGACTGTTATTCAGTCTGTCAGTTTATCAGTATTTTAAATAAACTACAGGATACTAACTCAAGTCTCAGGCTATACTTCCAGAGAGTTTTCCCGACAAACTTCACTTGAGTATTCGACTGGTAAATACCATGTTGTGTGGGCTTTCAATCACGTGACTTTACCACGTGTTTACTGTTGCAAAGATTTCTAAATGAAATCTAAGTAATTTTATTGATACTTCCATTCGAGCCATAATCATGATGATAATAATGCCGCCGTCTTGGTTAGTTGCAATATCCAACCTACACCATACGATGACAGTGAGGTTACTTTATCCTAAGTTTATACTATATTTTTGTTCTATTCTCTATTTTGATTTTTCTCAGATTATCCTGCATCTAGCTCCTACGATTGTACTCCTGGTAAATAGTTTCTGTGCAGATCAAATTATCTTTCTGTTTTAAGACAATATGCATGTTAAGCCCTATTCACAGTCTCGTTATTATTCTGTTGAAAACATCGTTATATTCAATAGATACTAAGATGTTCCCAGTCACTAGATACTAAGATGTTCCGTTCTTTAACTGGACATTAATTGATTGAATAAACAATAAACCACCATGTAAGGCTCTTACGTATTTACTCGGGAGATTGTAATTCAGCCTCACTAGCCCACCTTATCTCGGCACTTAACCTCCGCTGCCCAGAAAAGTACCACAGTACCCGCAACTTCAACCTCCACTCTCGACACCGCAACTTTAGAGTGTCTCGACGTCACGAAGTATGGCACAGATCACGTGATATATCCTTACAGACCAGTCCAGTGTACTTTCACTCCGAGGAACAGTCTCCCTACTCCACATCTTACTTTGGTTCTAGTGAGAGGAGTCCTGGAGATGACTTCAATCCGCGATCAGTTGAAGAGCATTTCGAAGATGAAAAGTCTGGTAATTAGGACAACCTAGAGTTGGTATTTGTTGAAGAAAGCTATCCATTTCAAGTTTCAAAATTTGAATATATTCGCCCGTGGTGAGAAACTGAACCAAGGTTAAACCACTTCCTCCTTGATACAGAAGTTCATGGTAAAAGAGGACGTGGTAAGTTTGGACGAAGTGTCTCAATGAGAAACAGTCCCGAATATATCTCCCCTCTCTACTCTCCGTCTTCTTCTGGAAACGATCCTGGTACTATCTGTGGTCACGTGCTGGTCACGTGCTGGTCATGTGACACGACCACTGTTACACGTGTGAGGTCATTCTTCTACCCTCATCATGTCAGCTTTCCGCGTTGATTGACCTGAGAGCCTCATTAAGCGAGATGCTCGGAAAACGTTTTGTTTCTTTACGGCAATGATTAGAACTGCCAGTCAATATTTATTAAGTTTATGTTTTAATTGTCAAGTGCTGGTCACTTGTTTGTCGAATGAGCTCACCCTTCTTGGAGACTGCGAATTGACTCTGCTCATCCATATTCTCGTCAACTATAAAGTTCTGAACTTGATAGTAATTCATCCACAAACCTGCTTTATCCACAAACTTGTCGTGTTCTTACTGAATACTATTATAGAAATATTTCTGACTTGATATAAGATACTTTTGTTGTTACTTACTTCCCTTATATTCATGTTATGACTCACTGTTACTTTATGTAGAATATATCAGGCGTTACCGTTCTATATATCCTTGTAACAGACAATATCTTGTTGTTTAATGAAGAAGATTCGCATACTTTAAATGTATACCAACATGTTTATGTAAATTTATTCTTGTAAATTAACATTTCTCGTGCTGGCCCACGAGTTAAGTTCAAATAACGTAATATGCGCGACACTCCACTAAAAACACTTAGATCTTCTAATTGCTTTTCTCAACGACACTGAGTCTCAGGAGTCTCCTAGTCTGTCTCTGAAGTAGAGCAATACAGACTACCAGCTACTAGTCTGTCTCCACAGTAGAGCAATACAGACTACCAGCTACTAGTCTGTCTCCACAGTAGAGCAATACAGACTACCAGCTACTAGTCTGTCTCCACAGTAGAGCAATACAGACTACCAGCTACTAGTCTGTCTCTGAAGTAGAGCAATACAGACTACCAGCTACTAGTCTGTCTCCACAGTAGAGCAATACAGACTACCAGCTACTAGTCTGTCTCCACAGTAGAGCAATACAGACTACCTCGCTTACCAAAAACCACCTCAACAGGTTAAAACTAAAGCTAAACATAACCACCCAATTATTCCAGGATCAAACTTCAACTCAGAGCCTCCCTCTAGATCCTACACTCCGTCCTACAACGAATCCTTCACCCCCTCTGACGCTAGTGATAACTCCGACACAGAGAGCAGTCCTGAGCACTGTGAGTACCCCTAGCTCCCCAAATCCACCTCCCTCATCCCCCAAACCCCCGGCAGTTCACTTTATGGACACGTTCATTGAAGTTTGAGGATATTGGTAAATATTAGTGACCCTACTGAATGGCACGATGATGTAAAATGTGTCACACTATGAAACTATATAAACCCTCTAACCCTAGGATAATCGTTTCATCCTCTAGATAAACTTTGTCGCATAACGATATCTTTATCAGACGATAAGATATCGCTTAAATGCGGCCGGCAGTGAGTTGTAAACTTTGTCACACTATAAAAACGTGACGGAGTTTATATGGACCCCTTGTTGCCGTGTTTGACCAAATTTTCGAATTTCCAATTCATAGAATAGTTGTATATGACTATTATCTACATATTTAGCGACTTTTTTCCTTAAATGGTAGCACCATGTAAACTCCGTCACACATTTAAGAAATTTATATGAGGGATGTTTATGACATCCTGACAAGAAATGCCGAATAGTCTAGCATTATTTTGTGAGCCTTAATGTGTTTGGAATTGTTCACATATTTCATTGTTATAGGCAAATACAAATACAGAAGGCAGAAATAGGTAAATTTAGTCACATAAATTTGTATGATATCTCAACATGTGTGAAATTGAGTAAATATTAGTATACCAACTTAAACACCCTATATTACGTACTATGGATCAATTAACAATATTTCAACCATACGCCGGTCATATAAATTATTATATGGCAGTGATATGTTAACATCGGATAAATTTCAACACCTGAACAGGGTAAACATTTGTAAATTTCGTCACAAAAAAAAATTATAACTTTATTTGCTCCGTGTTGGCAAAATAACTAATTTATCGACATAGTGATGGTGATAAAGTAACATTATATACTAATTGAGGTATGATTCTTCAAAATAGAGGCAAGAAATGTAAATTTCGTCACATCAGCCATTGCATTAGTTAGATAGATTTTCTTTCATGTCAACTGCCCTTATTATAGTTGGAATGGATTTATACAGGAAATATAGAAACCCATGCCCAATTTTCATCACATTGAAATTATACTGTTGGGGCAGGAAAAGTAAATTTCGTCACATTTCGGTAAATTAGTGATATCAAACTCAGAATTGTCAAACTTGAGTTCTGATGATCTACTGAATAATAACCTACTAATAATTCCTGGAAGAATATTGAATTCTAATCGGGGTATGGTTCTTCAAAATAGGGTCAAGAAATGTAAATTTTGTCACATACGTCATTGTAAAATTTAGATACACTTTCTTTCACATCAACAGTCCTAATTATAGTTTGAAATGATTAATTCAGAGATAAGGAAATATAGAAACCCATGCCCATTTTTCATCACATTGAAATTATACTGTTGGGGCAGGAAAAGTGAATTTCGTCACATTTCGGTAACTCGGTAAAATTAAACTCAGAATTGTTAAACTTGAGTTCTGATTTGCTGAATAATAACCTACTAATAATTCCTGGAAGAATATTGAATTCTAATCGAGGCATGTTTCTTCAAAATAGGGTAAAGGAATGTAAATTTCGTCACATCATCCATTGCATTAGTTAGATAGATTTTCTTTCATATCAACTGCCCTTATTATTATTGTGACAATTTTTACATCAACTGCCCTTAACTTGAATCAGCTCTATCCGTGCATCGTCCTTATATACAGATTTCCCGCCTTCCAAGCCAAAATCAGATATAAATGATTTCGGCAATTCACCCAAAATTTTAAATTCCATATAATGTGACAGAATTTACATCATTTCCCAATAAGTGCATGTATTTGCTAACTTTTCAAAACAACATATTTTAGGGCTATGATTGGTAGAAGAACCATCAAATAATGAGTTGAAAGGGTTTTGAGGACACCTCACAGTAGAAAAGAGGTATCGTATTCTGAGTGTGACAAAGTTTACGAAATATTGCCTTAAAACCGTTCGATCCCTGCCCTTTAGCCAAACTAGCAGGAACCCGTCAAACCTTTAAGACTGGTGTCAAGGCTCTTTGGTGGCCGGATCAGTTTCCTACCCTAAAGTCTCCCAGTAAAAATAATTATTACCTATTTAATTCGCGTTTTTGACACCACTTGGGGGTCCAAATTTTGGGTACTAAAATTCTTATTCCTTGGCCGATTTTCGATTTTTTTCATGCTGATTTGAAGGCCATTAAAGCATTTGAATCAGTTAAAAAAGTTTCAGTTTTATATCTTGTACGGTTTTTGCGGAAACCCGTGTTAAAGTTGATGCCGTGGTGTCAGTAAAATGGTGCGGATAAATAAATATATATATATATTATTAGTTAGCCACAACTATCAGTAAAACAACGCCTTGACTGTATGTATATATATATATATCGTCTCGCTTTATATATAGTAAGATGTTGTATCATAATTGTTAGAATGACCTAATCTACTATATTTTAAACCAAAAAATGCTAATTGGGCAGCTATGGTTAACACAGTCACAAAAATGTGACATTTTTTACATTATAGTGCCTAAAACAATAAATTGTATTTCTGAGCCGTGTATATGGAAGTATGGGTCACGTGGCTAATGTCCAGAACTTCTGAACACGCTATTTTTTTTTGGTTTACCAATATCCTTAAACTTCAACAATATAAACGTGTCCATTTACGATTTCGTATCATTTTGTGACGATGTTTACATCAACTGCCCAGTGCCCTATACTTCAATCAACTGTATCCGTGTATCGTCCTCATATAGAGTTTTCCCGCCTTCCAAACCAAAATCAGATATACATGATTTCGGAAATTCACCCAGAATTTCAAATTCCATATATAATGTGACAGAATTTACATCATTTCCCAATAGCCAAGTGCATGTATTTGTTAACTTTTCAAAAAAACATATTTTAGGGCTATGATTGGCAGAAGAACTATCAAATAATGAGTTGAAAGGGTTTTGAGGACACCTCACAGTAGAAAAGAGGTCTCGTATTCTGAGTGTGACAAAGTTTACGAAATGTTGCCTTAAAGCCGTTCGATCACTGCCCTTTAGGCCGACATTGTATCATAATTGTTAGATTGACCTAATCTACTATATTTTAGACCAAAAATGCTTATTGGGCAGCTATGGTAAACAATGTCACAAAAATGTGACATTTTTTACATAATAGTGCCTAAAAGCAATACATTTTATTTTTGAGCAGTGCATATGGGAGTATGGGTCACGTGGCTAATGTTCAGAACTTATGAACACGCTAGATTAATATATGTTAAAATTAAACCACTATCGTCAAAAACGCTGTTTTAGAAATTTACCAATTTCCTCAAACTTCAATGAACGTGTCCTTATGGAATCTAGTTCGTCATTTTAAAATGAAGTTGATTTGGGGACGGTAATGTTAGTTATCTCTGGAAATTATTTCGCAGTTTCCTTTGTGTGAGAAATAGCCCAATATTAAGATGAGATATCACTTTAGCTAACTTCGTATCCTGATTTGACTTTCATCTCCCCCACAGTTGTGCCAACAGGAATCAGGAAGCCCGGTGGTTCTGCTACCAGGGGACTACCCACCAGAGGTGGTCAGAAAACTGGGGTCCGGGGAAGAGCTACAGGTAATACACGTAATATACGTGATTAAACGTATTATACAATATACGTATTACGTATGTATTACGTATACTAAATTTCAATAAGATTAATAACGCTGCCACCTAGTCTTTGTCATCAACAACAAAAACCTCTATCAAACTATAATTCAAATTGTCTCCAGAGTGCCGGCAATACGTTTACTAGCAATGTAACTATAGCTCAACAATATAACTACAGCAATGACATATCACAATCTAAGAACCATGCCCTTGTCAGGAGTACGACGAGTCCGTCCCTCATACAGTGGAGAGCACCTTGGTGGACTGGTGGAGAGCAGCTCTGCTGAGAGTTTCGTCTCCAACAAGAGTGAGGATCCTGGGGACCATCCCAGGGGAGGTTCTCTGTCTGGGTAAGTGGTCTTAACAGCGGGGGAAATGGGTGTCTGGTTATTTGTTGCAATTCCTTTTTTAGGCTTTTTAATTGTTTTAATTTGTGGGATCACCTGTGACCAATGTACCCATTTACGAGTCATTCAATAGCTTGACCACCGAAAATTTTGTTGTTTGAATCAACAGAAAATAACAAGCAGTAATCCCGTCAAATCTCTGCAGCCTGAGGAAACCTACAGCGACCTCAACACCTCGTGGGTTGGCCCGACCTCGACCTGTAAACACAGCCACATTGCCTCGCCCCTCCAACCTTGGCATCCAGTCACCAAATAGGAAACAAAACTCTCCTCAACCCCCCAAATCAAACATCGCTAAACCGGGTGCGCTGCAGAAAATGAAACCAAGCGGGTTACAAAAGCCTGGGGCGGCTCGTGGGATCCCCAAACCTTCTGGTATTGCTCGAGGAGCAGCTAAATCCGCAAGGGGTGCAGGTTAGTTGTAGCTTTGTAGTTAATCATTTATTAGGGTAATTAGTAATTCACTTATCGCTAAATTTCTCCGTTAATTGATAAGCATGACCGACTTCAGATAAAATATGAGCCTTTTTTTTTGAAGTTAACAAATAATTGTTATCAACATAACAGGATAGTCCTTCAATTTATAAATTTATCAATAAGTTAAAGTTCCCTCAACAATCCATTAATTACTATAATGATCGTAACAATTATGTCTCTGCAGGGCGACCTGGATTGAAGAAACCTGCTACCTCTAAGGGAAGTTGGGACGAGGGCTGCTACTAAAGACTTTCACTTTCTTTATGATCCCTGACAACTTTCACTTTCTATATAAATCTAGGTTTCTCTTTTTTGTTCTAAAATCGATTAAAATTTTATTTTTCTTTAAAAACGGATGCAGGGCCCACGAATTTTGTTCTTTGTAAATAGAATGTAATCAAAATTCGGAAAAAGTGAAAAAAAACACTGGCAGCTCTGGTATTTATATTTGATTTTTATTTTATATGTTTAATTTTTACTTAAAGTTTTGTGTTTTATGCGTTACAGCGTTATGTGCGGTGTTACGAAAAGATAACACGGCGATTTACATAATGCATAACTTAGAAATCTCTCGTGCTATCATCACAACCCCTTATATTTTGTGACAAACACAGTTTGATATTTGATAGTAAACACTTTTTCATTTTATTGTAATACTTTTTTACATAATGTTGAAGCGTAGATAATAGATATGATTACTAATTACTGATAAATTTCCAACTAGCAGTAATATTGAAATGGATTATAATCGAGAATTTTCATTGAACTTAAAGATAAGTTATGAGCATTTCAAATTATAAGAGCATTATTGTGATTATTATTATGTGATTTATGCTTTTTGTAAGGTATGCAATGGAATTTCTTACTACAAATACAATTCGTCAAACTGATGAATTTGTCAATAAAACCGCACTTTGAAATCCTAAGAATTAGGTTTGAGTGTATTTTTTTCGACGCTCTCCGAAAAACATTCTGATGAAATCACTGCAGCATGCTTTAGTAAATTGTTGATGTAAAATGAATGTTTATGTAACACTTAGTTTTTTAATTGATTATCAAATAAGTGTTTCATTCATCTTTGATACCAAAACGTTTAACACACGAAAAAAGCAGTTCATCTCTGGCAGGGGTTGGCGGACCGTATCCCTTAAACGGACCGAATTTCTAATGCTATCCTAGACCCTTTCCAATTCCATAACACTGACCCTATCCCATACCATAGGGGGAACCCCATTGCCCATTTATTCACAACCTTGGTTATTAATGGGCATCGATCATCGATGGACATTGCTGTTTTGAGGCCTTTGCCCATTGGGCAAAGCTTTAAAAGCAGCTAAAACATCAGTTATGATAAACAAATAAACATCAACATCGTGTTGGCCGCAATTACTAGAGAATGTCATCAGTGATCACTGATCAGACAATTCGCCATTTTGAGATAGATTCAAGAAAAAAGAGCATATCCAGAGTGCAATACTGAATACAAAAGACTGTAGGAAGTGCTGCTCGACAAAATACTGGAGGAAATTATTTCATGCTAGGCCCTCAAACCACTCGTCAGGATCTGACCTTAACCTTAAATTGGAGCCATTCATCGAGAGAAGCTGTAACATGTTATCACTAATAAACACTTTTGCGTCAACTTTTCCTCTATGCTCGTCATTTCTGAGATGGCGCGCATTATATCTCCACAGAAAGCACATTTAATTTGATACGTATGAAAAACTTTTAAAACCTGTTTTATTTGATTCTGCACTCAGTTAAAGTGTTTTATCCAAAATTGAACGGGGAATCTAAATCATTTAAATGTTAAGATCGCCTTCGAGGCACCTTAACAAAAGTTACTTTGTATATAGTTATTAATATATACTCCATATTCGCGTTAGTGTGCTTTTCAAGTAAATGTAGAATTGAAATAAGACTGTAGCGTTTTTTTGCTTGTTTATTATTCATTTACAAAAGTATTTCAAGTGATTCATGTAAGTGTATACAATTACATTGATTAATTCTAAGTATAGGCAGTGCGCCATCGACAATAAGACGCGCGCGCTGACCATTGAATGGTTTTTTAGCTCTTATTTCGGCCAGCACATTATTTTGGAAACAATCAAAAAGTTATAATACTTCCCGTATAACAATTTTGTTGAAATTTGGTCAGCTTACGTAAACACTTATGTTCTACTGAACCTAATTTAGTTTGAGCAATTTCGATAGTCAGAATTTGAGTTATCAACGAATTTATACCTATTTTGTCATTTGTAGACCTCTTAATCAAGGCCAATCTCTCCCAACTAAATTAGGTTCGGTAGTTAAGTATGATTGGAAGGTTCTGACAAATTTTCAGCATGATTCATGTTCAGGAACCGAAGATATGACAGAATAATACGACAAAAATCAACGAATTTCGTCAAATTACGCGACTTTTACACCTAATTTTGCTCCAAAAGCCGCGCACCATCAAATATGGCATCTAGGAGAAACTCACTGATCATTCCAAAAAGGTATAATAAATTTGGTACTGTGAAAATTCTCACAGTCTCTAGAAAACGATGGTACAAAAATTTTGAAAATCCGAGCAAGTTTATTTTTATGGTGCACCGCCTACTAAGTACAATGTACATATTGCAAAAGTTTAAATCTCGATTCTTAACGCGACGCGACGTTTGAAGGAAGTTGCTCCAATGCGCTCCTACTAAATTGTAAATTGCTCGCCCAAATTTTAAGAAAATTCTTCTGAAAAGGCCCTTTGGGCATGAAAGAGATTTAAAAGTAAATCGGTGTATTTTTGGACGCTGATTCTGGATTCCGAATCACCCCATAACGTAGGGTTAAAATGCTTCCCTGGCACAGGGGGGTCTGAAACCAGGTTTTCGATCAAATGCTACCATTTGTAGTCAAACGTCGCCAACAGTTGCTCTCGTCCAATGAAATCGCTGCATTTTGCAAGTTAGTATGCATAATTGAATTACATATATTCATATGCGGAGCTTGGCTTACATAATGCAGCGATTTCATTGGACGAGAGCAACTTTTGGCGACGTTTGACTACACATGGCAGCGTTTGATCGAAAACCTGGTTTCAGCTCCCCCTGTGCTGGAGAGGTATGGGCAAAAACCGTTTTGGTCACGTGATTCACATAGCCATGTGTCTACGCGTACTGCGTGACGCGCGCTACTGCAAGCGTGAAGCGAGAGTCGAGGGCTCTGGTTAAAGCAAGTCACGTGACAGGCTAGTAAAATACGAATTCGATTGTTTAGGACTCGGGTTAGGGTTAGAGTTGTGATAAGGGTTATGGTTAGCTTCGGGGTTATGGTTAGGGTTAGGGTTGGGATGAGGGTTTATGTAAAACCGTTTTGTACTTAAAAGCATAAAAACTTGTAGCGCGATGCACTACTGGGTCGCGCGCGCATCAAATAATGCTTCTCGCAACGGTAGATCGGCGAGATGCACCACTTTGCCTCACCGAGCTGCGAAGGATTGACATCGTGAATCAACATAAAAACCAAAGTCACGTTAAATTTTTGGGCGAGCGAATTAGTAAAAGCCGCTCCAATGCGCGCAATTTGGGGAGTGTGCTTTCTTTGTATCACGTCGTGACCCCCATTGTTAACGGGTGATACTCGTAAAATATTTGTTCCGTATATTGGACCGTCGACGAGTCCAACTCGGCGCGCGTCCTGGTAGGTTATAAACCTACAACCCCCATTGTCGTTTCACTAAATGTAACTGTACTTGTAGTGTTTTTACTAAGTGTAACTAGTAGACTGTAGCGTTTCTACAATACGTACAGGGGAGCCGCGCACTCGTGCGCGGCGCGCGGGTCATATAACGTATGACAATGCTTTTTGTAGAAATACAAAATATAAAAGCTGCACCTTTTGAAATTCATGAAAATCGAGTATTGCATATCCAACGTAAAGGCCGTACGCGTAGCTGTAGGAAGTTTTGGTCGGGAAAAAACCTGGCGGACATAATTTTATAAGCTTTAAACTAAAGTCGTAAATTTGAAATCCAAATTTAATTTTGCATGCTCGGGGGGGGGGGATAAATTTGGGACCTGTGTATACATTGTTATTTGAATTTCATTGATATGATTAGATCTTAACTGCTTGTTGTAAAATGTATTTCAACGTATTTGATATCAATTAGAATAAAACTCGAAAATGTAACTACAATTTTATGCGCGCCGTGCTTATTAATTTCGTATTTTAACCGATTTATATTATATGCCGTATCATGTGAAAATCGAGCGCTAAATATACAAATGTTCGTGTTATAACTTGTTTTTAATTCCTTTTTACATTTTCAGATCTACTGCTTCACATGATTTTAGGATTGGTTTGTAACTTTCAAAAATAGTATATATATATATACTATTACTATATATAGTAATAGTAGTATTAAACAGCAGTAATTTGATTTAAAGAAACGACATACGAAGGGTAAAAAGTGTTCTTAAAATAAGTTTGCAGTCATTGTATGAATACTAAATGCATGGTTATGTTGTCAGTTGAACTTGTCAAATGCTGCCCAACCCATCATCTCTTCGATGCAACCGGGCTTGTACAAGTTTGAAGTTCTTGAGAACATTCGATACCAAATTATTGCACTAATTATAGCGAAACTTTAATTTTCAGCATAAAGCATACTTTGAGAATTGTAATTTTTATCATGTGGTAGAGGCCAGTGTGCTATCAGAATTTAGAGGACTAGTCTAGAGGCAACACTATTTAGCTTTCCAAGTGATGCAAGAGTTTCGTTTGTGGCTCAGAAGAGTTTAAGTCAAAAAAAAATTGATAATAAATTTATAATAATTTTCATGTTCTCAGAAATTATACCGTCTTTACAAAATACGAATATTTACATGACATACGAATAAGTGCTGTGATTTGGTTAGTGTTAGGTTGGTGATAGGTGAAGATTGTTACTTGGAGGGTTTATTGGAAGAAATTTGTGTGGGAGGTGCTGTATGTTCGATGTGAATTCAAGGTGAAGAATACTGTTTGGCAAAGTATGAGTTTTGATGGAACCGTCCAGGAATAAAATATTAGAAATTAATTGGAGTATAGTTTATCAATTTATTTTAATGTCAAATAGGAACTTATCAGTGTCTACAAAGTTGTGAGTGTAAACACAAGATATTCAAGTACTTTATCGACAAGAACTACCTCAGGAAAGATGTCATGGTTCCTTTATATAACATGATGGGAAGTTGTTTATCGTCAAGTGAGTCATTCAAAGTGATTAGTTTAGTTCTATCAGATCAGTTAATCCATTTTCTCAATTGTTGAGAAGTAGCAGTGCCAAAAATTATATTTTCAGACTAGGAGTTTTAAACAATTCTATTTGACATGTCTTTAAATCTTGAGATAATACTTAGTACAATTTATGTTCACTGGAATCTTCAGTAACAATCTCGATTGACTGGCATTAATCATAATTTTATACAATAGATAGATTTTTAATACGGACAATAATTTGATCATGGTGTATAAAATTTCAGATGTTCATCCCTCGGAGCCAGTGATACGTACTGCTACAGCTAAGATATTCGACAAATCAAATTTTTTACCCCCAAAGAACTCCCTCCTTTCAATTAAAAGTGAAAAAGACATTCAGAATCTTAATGTTAAAGAATTAAAGGTTAGCACGCTTTTCTGCAAAGCTCCTCATAAGAAAATTTAGAATATTTGTGTTTTCATTCGCTGACATCACTATTAAAAATACAAATATTTAATTCCCTGATGATCACTATTATTTTCATTTTTATAAAATCTACCTTTGAAAGTAAGCTAGAAGATTTTTTATAAGTTTGTTTTGTGATGACTCCTAATATTAAATTGTATCTTGTACTTCTATATTATGTTCTTTGCAAATGATCGCATGTTTCAGGATATTTTGTCTAACTACTGTGTAGATTACAAAGGGTGTATTGAGAAAAGCGAGCTACAGAGAAAGGTATTTTTGTAGATCTGCGGTTTTGTACTTCAAGAAGTTTTATTTCATACATTTTCATTTGAAATAATACATATAATTTAATATTTCTAATGTTATGACGTAATCTTAAGACAGTACAGAACATGACAGTTCACTGTATTGGAAGAAATCTATTTCTATTCTATCTATATATTGAACACTGATCATATTATGTGAAAGTGGAGACAATCTAATTTCCTGGAATTCTGTGAACAATTGAGTAACTATGGTAACTAGTAGTGTAACTATGGTATCTATTTAATACTTATATTATGACAGTATGTGTTGTCTCACGTATTCACTATTCATGGAATAAGTATGAGGGATTGGTGTCAATTACTTTACTTCAGCAGTACAACAAATGTCGCTATTTTATTACCTCAACCATATAATTACGAGAATAAATTGTCTTTTCTAACACTCATATTATTACGAAAGTAATTAGTTAACTTTTCAACAAGAGTCCTCAACTTATATCATCATTCAAATAATATCCAACGTAAAATTAAATAAGCATTTAACATTTTACGTCATACAATTGTAGGGTATTGTCTAATTGTATAGTTTGGTTATATGTAGTACCATTGTGGATTTAAATGGATATGATCATCATCATAAATACTTTAGAAACTATAAAAACCCTAAATATGTAATGAGTTACTATTTGTTACATAGTCCTAAAAGGTTCCCATTCCAGCCTTCATCCATACAGAGATAACACTTAAAAATCTCAACAAACGGCGAGTGGGAGTAGGATCACCTATTCAGGATTAATGGGTTGTTTTGTCTGTGGTAACTATATTGGGAGATTGGTCTGGAAGGTTATGACACAGCTAATATATAATATAGATTATAATAATATATAATGGGATATCAAAGTCGATATTGCGTTTGATCCGTGATCGTACATCATCTTTTATCCAACAGTTGCGTAACTTATTTGAAAGAACGTTGGTTGCAGTACATTTTCTGAGAAAGGCTTTTTTAAAGAAAAGTCCATATAACTTAGACAGTTTTGTCAACAGCAGTATTTTCCCAAAAGAGGACGTTAATAAATGATAACACCATCAAACAGTAAGTGAGGTAAGCTGTACCTGGCAACGTCTGTTTTTCGGAGTCAGGCACAGGCCACATTACACTGAATATTCTATGTAGACTTAAGCTATTTCTGTCCAGGGTCAGAATTGAATTAACCCGAATAATCCAAAGTGTTTTCAGACCATTTTCAGGTTACAGTTATACAATTACATAAGATTTTAATTCACAGTATGAAAATATGAATTACCTGTAATTATCTTTACTGTCAGATTTATATACTTTAGTAACAAAAGAAGTACCATTTTTCTTATAAAGGATTTGGATAGTGTCATTGTCAAAAATGGAGCTTAAATCTGTTCCTGTCTCTTGCTTCTTTCATTTAGCTAATTTTCTGGAATTTCCTGACTTCTTTAGATCTAAACCCCAAGGTGACTGGTATGATAAATACAGAATAATAGTCTTACATCACACATTTCTCTAATACAACATGTTCTCAAGTTAACAGTCCTACGGTAGCCTGGCTTATTAAAGCTATATAATTATGAAAATGTAATGAACTAATGACTGTTGTCATGGCAACTCAGAGCAAGGTCTGCAGTCCAGTAGTGTACCAGTGTAAGTAGAGAATATGTTAGAGGACACTGTGGCTAGCCTGGCGAATACATGCTATTATATACGCTGTATTATTAAACTATATGAGCGAGGATTTTGGTGACCAGATGTTACATGCACGTCATCGTGTATTTCTTAATTAATCACATTCTCCGAATTCCGACACACTCACTCTAAGCTCGCTATCTTTACCTTTAAATTATGTGAACTATGTGTGTAAACTGCTTACTTCTTGTGAGAACTGGCGACCAGGTGAACGATTAATTAATAGCCTATGAGTAATTAGCGACACTTTTGCAGCTGCCTGTGTACATTAGGTCCACTTTGAAATATATATACTACCATAACTTATATAATATATTATATATTATTTACTATATACTGCTACATATATTTTGTATGTACGGCTGTGTAAACAGGTGTTCATCTCCCTCTTTTGTGACTATTATATTTCTAATGTTCTGCGCACTACGTTGTATCAAGCTTGTTGATGAAATATAATGTGTAATTTTGCTGCTATCTGAAACAAAGTAGCACAATGAAACACAATCTGTTGATAAGTTAATAAGTAAGTATCAATAACTTAATCAATAATAATTAATTTCCAGGTTACGAACCTGTATGTGGAGCGACAGAACAACAGGTCACGAATCAGTGATGAGGAATGCTGTAAAATATGCTGGGACGCTACAATAGACTGTGTGTTACTGGAGTGCGGGCACCTAGTGTGTTGTCTCTTCTGCTCTAAGAAATTCAAGGTTAGAGAACGTTTAGTGTGTTGTTTCTTCTGCTCTAAGAAATTCAAGGTTAGAGAACATCTAGTGTGTTGTCTCTTCTGCTATAGGAAATTCAAGATTAGAGAACGTCTAGTGTGTTGTCTCTTCTGCTCTATGAAATTCAAGGTTAGAGAACGTCTAGTATGTTGTCTCTTCTGCTCTAAGAAATTCAAGGTTAGAGAACGTTTAGTGTGTTGTCTCTTCTGCTCTAAGAAATTCAAGGTTAGAGAACGTCTATTGTGTTGTCTCTTCTGCTCTAAGAAATGCAAGGTTAGAGAACGTCTGGTATGTTGTCTCTTCTGCTCTAGGAAATTCAATGTTAGAGAACGTCTAGTGTGTTGTCTCTCTTCTGCTCTAGGAAATTCAAGGTTAGAGAACGTCTAGTGTGTTGTCTCTTCTGCTCTAAGAAATTGAAGGTTAGAGAGCGTCTAGTGTGTTGTCTCTTCTGCTCTAAGAAATGCAAGGTTAGAGAACGTCTAGTGTGTTGTCTCTTCTGCTCTAAGAAATTCAATGTTAGAGAACGTCTAGTGTGTTGTCTCTTCTGCTCTAAGAAATTCAATGTTAGAGAACGTCTAGTGTGTTGTCTCTTCTGCTCTAAGAAATTCAAGGTTAGAGAACGTCTAGTGTGTTCACTAGACACACAAGAGACTGTGTGTTTTGCTCTAATAAATTCTAAGTTAGAGAAAATGTGGTTGCCGTAATGAACCCACTTTTCTCTGACGATACTTACGTTCGGAGGTCTATATCAATAGCAGTTTTTAAGATTTCTGAATTTGGTATAGGTGCTGTGTTTCATGACTCTTTCAATTCAAATCTGATATCACGCTGTGATTTGTTAAATAAATTCCAATTATTAAGTAGAAAGAACATCGTCCAAACTTATTAAAAACAGTTTGACATTGTCATTGGTCTTGACATTTTAAACTATCACGTGCGAATCTCCCTTAACCGCTGTAAAATGTATAGGCAGCTAAAAGGAATTCTTACATTTTTATAAATTTTCAAATTTTTCATATTTTAAATTCTTTAAAACGTAGCTATACATTCTTTTACTTATTAAATCACAGTATCAAACGATAACTTACAATTTGATAGCCGTACAGTAATTGTATCTTTACAAAATGCTAATTTCTTACCGTTAATTCCCATTTTAAAAGAGTCATGAGTAAAATCAACATGTGTCGAATTCCAACTTTGGCCGTGCGATTTCATTCAGCGTGTCCATAAGCAGTATAAAGATACTCAAGCGGATGTGGTTATCAAACGTTAATGATAATGATAAGAATAATGAGTTTAAATTGTACCATTTGTCGTGCACAGTCATTATTCTCATATTCACTAATTTTATCGTATTAGTGTTTACTGTGAAGTAAATAAAAGAACCCGCCGCTTTATCGCAACAATAATAGTTTTACACTTGGCACATTATCATAGTACACTGTCTGGTTTATGCCAATACACTATATTATATGTATTATGTAGACACGATTGCAGTGATGTGCACTGTGCATTATGTACATTGTAATATGGTACGTATGATATCTAAATCTCCATTCTTGACTCCGGTGAGGAAAATTTTTAAGCCACGTAAATGTTTCCCTGACCTCTTTATGAAAAGACAACTAGTGAAAAACGTAGTCCATCTTGTGCGAACTTTCCTAATGACCAAGGTCTACTAGTGAATAAGTAATCCAGTCTAGGTATATTATAAGTTTGTTTTTATTTGTTTTTAGCTAGTGCGAAAACACAGAAAACATGAAATCTATAACTTCTGCTGAAACAATCTTAAAGGTCAGTGAATCATAATATAAATGGTAGACGAATCATTACAGTAACTCCTTAGCCTTCACTTTAATTTGGAGGTTACTCGAATTATTTATGATGTAATATGTCTGGTTTCAATTCCTTGCATTCAATTTTAATCAAATGTTGCTGGACTTTGGTTAAATAACCTACTTTGCGCCAGTTTCAAATTAAATAGATTATATCACACTGCAGTAAAACCCTAGTTTACTGTAGTCGGAGCTACTACTAACTACTACTACGGAGCCAGCTTTATGCTGTTTGGAGTGGTAAACTCTCCAACAAACCATTATCCAGCATCCCTGTTTTCATTAAATTTTAACTTCATATGAAGCATGGAGGTGTTTATATTTAAAGAAAAGATGACTTATTTTGAGGTTTCGATCATAGGATTGAACACTTAAAGAGTTCACGCAGTATCGATTTGCGATTTCTTACAAAATACTCGAAAATTTGTCAGAGAGTTAAGCCTGGCATTACTGCCTTCCCAAAATAACTCTGTCATAATTGCTTCACAAGCTGAGTTAGGATGGGGCTAAAAACTACGTGCAGCCGCCACAGTATATGTCTGGGATACTTCGTGGTATCTTTAATCACATAATTTACGATTGCAATCACAATTTTAGTTAGTCGCCGAGTCCGATTACCGCATTATAAGAATATATTGATTTATAGTAGTATATACATAGTAGTTTATATACATAGTAGTAAATACATAGTAGTTTATAGACATAGTAGTATATATACATAGTAGTAGTAGTAAATCTTTCAAAGTACGAAATATCTCTTTAAAAGAGCATCCTAGGCACCTTATAGATATTAAAACGCATAAAAAAGAAAACAAAAACATCAACCATCTTCTAACTTCTTCCATTCCTCCCTATCTAAAGCCAAAAATCTAAGGTCTTCGAAATCAGTCAAATTCTTAAGTCTAATATCAAGATTTCTACTAGTCAAGTCTTTTCTAATAACATCTAATAAGTTTAAACATGGTCTACCCCGTCTCCCTTCCATAAAAATATCAGAATTTATAGCAAATAACATAGAGGTGTATGCTGGTGAGTCTTCCTGTCCTCTTAAGATATGTCCTAACATTCTCCATCGAAACTTAGAGACTCTCACAGACAAGGGAGTGACATAACAACGAGCATAGAGTGCCTCATTAGAAATAACCCCAGTAGGCCATCTGATGTTGAGGATTCTTCGGAGGTGTTTGCGATGAGCAATATCAAGTTCATTCAACGAAGCTAGTGGTGCAGCCCAGGAGTTGCAGTTGTAGAGTAGAATAGAGACTACTTGTGCCTCGTAGTTTTTGATCTTCCTTTGGACTGAAATCTTGCTCTTCATCCAAACTTTCTGAAATTTACTAAAGGCAACATTACCAAGGAATATTCGATTCTTGATATCCTTAACAGTGCACATCAACGATCCTAAAGTTTTGTTAGAGCGCCACTCTTCATCACCTCTATACACTTTTCCAACAATCACCTTGCGTTTAACAGTGGGTTTAGGATCTGCTAAATAAAAATGGACAAATTCAGTCTTGGAAGAATTGATATGAAGGTCCCACTGCTGGAATATATCTTTAGCGATAGGAAGCATTTCTTTGAGTGGAGCAAGTTCAGTGTTATTAAAGTCAATATCATCAGAGTATCCTGTTTCGAGTGGCATGAATTCTTCTGAGATAGGAGGATTAGGGATTGGATGATTTACTGGGTAAGGTGTTGATGATACTTGGGAGAGTACAGATCTGAGGTGAATAAGTGCAGCGGCTTCAACAACAGTAAATAGATTACCTGATAGTGCATCTCCTTGAAATGCTCCAGTTGTGCTTTGGAACTCAATTGATACACATATTGATTGGAACTCAATTGATTGGAACTCAATTGATAAACATAGTAGTATATATAATACATAGTAGTATATAATACATAGTAGTATATAATACATAGTAGTATATATACATTGTAGTAAATACATAGTAGTAAATACATAGTAGTATATATACATTGTAGTAAATACATAGTAGTATATACATAGTAGTATATATACATACAGTAGTAGTTTATATACATTGTAGTAAATACATAGTAGTTTATATACATTGTAGTAAATACATAGTAGTATAATATATACTACTATGTATATATACATAGTAGTATATCAAAGTATCAAGCTCAATAACTGCTAGTATCTTCATATAATTCTAATCGGAGGGTGTGATTTTTTTTTATTTCAAAATTCAAATAAACTTTACATCAATGTATTACAGTTATATTCAATAAAAAGACCACAATATCTCCTGTGAAGCTAAAACATGGAAAAAGAGAGCTAGAAAAATATTCATGATACTCAACACTACCAGACTCAGCTGGAGTGAGAAACAAATTGTAAAAACATCAAGGTAAAATTTATTTCGGCTGAACCAAAACACGGTGGTAAGACCATAATAACATTGGTGCCGACCCTACATAAAATCATTAATAAATAATCAAGAGAACAAATTTAAATGTATACGATACCTTCTTGCTACTACTCCACAAACTTACACGACATAACAACAAAATAACATAATTAAATAATATTATAATAAAACAATCTACAATCTAGCCACTCACGTACTGCGTGACGCGCTTGGCAATATGACATCTAGACCAATGAATCAATTGAAACTTGTTGTTGTTGCACGTGAATTACGTGGTTTTATCCACTTGTACTTGTTTTTTGAGATAAACATTCTCAGCAATAGTTCAGACATAGTTATACCACGTGTATACCACGTGTATACGGTACGTAAGTTAGATAATAGCTTAGTCCATTTTTTAGCTATACAAATTATGAGTTAGAATCAAATGAGAGGCAAGAATGATATTTGTAACGTTTATGAACTGATAGCAATTCACCTTTCAAAATTTGCTCCTTCATAAAAAAAATAATCAATTTTTACATTCTACACACTATTTTCAACTCGCCCTGTATATACAATAATAAAATGTATCAGCCATCACGTGATCTATCACATGATGATGATATGCTGTCTCCCTTGTCTCATATATGGACTGAATGTAGTACAGTACTATATTCAGTCGTTGATCCTAAATAAATGACAAAAAACGCTGAATCTTCTTAAACTTCACGTCTAAAAAAAGAGCTTGTTTAGTGTTTTACTTTGTTGCAAA